CGCGCGTGCGATGCGCGCCGAAATGGGAGCGTCGCCCGAATGCGGGTTGCGCGGTTGCCGCAGGGGCCGTAGGTTGAGCTCCCTGCGGGGCCGCGACGACGAAGCGCGTGAGGGGTGTGCGGAGAACAAAAGGAGAGTCGCCCAGATGCGGGCTGCGCTACTGGGCATTCAGAGGATCTCCGTCTGGTGCCAGGAACTGCGCGGGGGGCGCCGAAGCGGGGGCGGCGCCCGCGCGCGAATTGCGGGCGTCAGCTGGAGCTCCCCATGGGGCATGCACCGCAAGAAGAAAAAAATAGCACCAGAAATTTCGCTTGATTCATGCCTTCTCGGTTATGCCACCACGGCCTCCCGCTGCCGACGCGGGGGGCGGTGGCTCCCAGTTCGTGGATGCCGCGAACGCGCCGAAACATTGACTGGGCTGCAACGACGAACGCGTCTTATATTCGAAAACTACGTCGTGAAAACCAAGCGGTTCACTCGCATTCTGGTGAACAACGTTGCGTTTTGTGATTCCACGACGAACGCAGCGATAGTTTTCGTGGGTTCCGTTCGTGGCTTGCTGCAAACGCGCTTTACTTTCGTTGTTTGCTTCTGGCGAGCAATATAAGTGTTTCTTGGTTCCGCGGACCCACAAAAGAACAGCAAAATTCATGGCATTCGCGGGTTTCGTTGATTTCATCGATTTTGTTGATTTGGGGGGCATCGCGCGCTGCAATGGAAAAGTTCTAGTTCCGAAGCCTGAGTGGTGCAAACCATTCGTTTCATTTTGGTTCTGTGAACAGTATGGGCGCTGTGGGATTCCACCGAATCCACGAAATCAAAAACCTCTGACAATTGCGCCGATGTCAGTTGATTTTGGGCTGCCACAAACCCGTCTTAGCGTCGAAGATTGAATTGTGCAAGCGATGTGCCATGTGGATCTTAATGGGCAATCTGGGCGTTTTGTGATTCCACGAATTCAAACGAACATCAACGACATCCACGAGATCCACGAAGCCAGCGAAATCTATGAATTTCGCGGGTGTCGTAGGTTTCGCTGGTTTCCGTGGATCTCGTTGATGATAAGGAGCGCGTTGTAAATGTGAAGGTTTGTAGTGGCAGCCACGTGTTCCCCTTAGGTGCTGGGGGGTAGTATGGGTGCGACAGAATTTTTTTGAACTACGAAGGAACCAGCGAATTCACGAAATCCATGCGAACCTTTGCGGATCTGGTTTTTGTTTGTAGATTTCGTTGGGTTTTCGTAGATTTCGTTGCTATCAATTGATATCCGTTGATTCCAATGGATAACGAACGCATCCTAAGCTCAAAATCTGAATGGTGAAGACACGTTGTTTCATTCGGGTTCTAAGACGCCATCTGCGCGTTTTGGGGTTCCACAAATCTACGAAGACAATGCAAATCTATGACAATCGTTGAATTTCGGACGTTCCGTGGGTTCCCAACCGTCCATTTTGCCCCCCAGAGTCGAATTCGAGCTAATGGGAACCGACGGAATCCACAACCATCAAATAAGTCAACGCAACCCACGGGATCCACGAATTGCGCTGATTGACTGGGTTCCCACGGCGTCAGCGGAAAATCTACGAAATCAGCGCAATTCGCTTGATTTGCTGATTTAGTTGGCTTTCGTGGGTTCCGGTGATTTCGCCGATTTTGAACTATTCCGTTGGTTTTGTGGATTGCAACAGCGACGGATATCTTAAGCTCAAGAAGACAATCGTTTCATTTGGATCTTGGAAGACATATGATCGTTTTGGGGTTCTACGAAGTCTACGAACAAGGAAGTCCGCAACGTTTCGTGCATCTCGTGGATTTCGCTGATTTTCGTGGGATCCCAATGCGCTCAGGCTGCTTTCCAGAATCCAAGTGGAACAATTTGTGTTCACCATTCTCTTTTCGAGCTTCAGATGCAGCCGTGGTAATCCACGAAATCAACGACAATCAACCTAATCATGTTTCACACGCAAAATCTATGAAACAACAACGAACCTATGAACATCATCACCATCCACAACATGTCATGGATTCCGAGGAATTTCGCGGATTTCGCTGAGTTCGTCGATGTCCGTTGATTCGTGGGTTTCGTAGGTTGCCACGAACGCGTCCTAAGTTTGAAAATTGAATGGTGAAAACCAATTGTTTCATTCGGATTTTGGAACGCTATATCTGCTCTTTGCGATTCGGAGAATCCACGATGTCCACGGCAATCAACGAAACCCATTCAATGCATGGGTCTCGTTGGTGCTTGACATTTACGTAGGTTTCGTTGATGTCGTGGATTCCGTGGTTTGCCACGAGCACATTTTAAATTCTAGAACTGAATGGCGAGAACCAATTGTTTCATTTGGATTCTGGAAGGCAGTCTGGGCGGTTTGGGATCTCACGGAGCCGACAAGTTTTCGCTGAACGATATCTAGAACATTTCTTCGATTTCGTCGATTTTTCTTGGATGTCGTTGATTTGTTGAGGACTTCGCTGGTTTCGTGGGTTGCCACGAACGCATCGTAAGGTCGAAAACTGAAGGGTGACACCTGTTTGTTTCATTTGGATTATGGAAGGCATCTGGGCGTTTTGGGATTTCACGAAACCGCCGAAAACAATTGAAATTCACAGATGTTCGTGGATTGTGTGGGTTTCGTTGGTTTTCGTTTGTTTTAGTGCATTTAGTGGATTGTGCTATTCGTGGATTTCGTGAATCTCCAGGAGCGCGTCTGAAATTCGAAAACTGAATGGTGAAAGCAAATTTTTGCATTTGGATTCTGGAAGGCAATATGCGCGTTTGGGGATCCCACGAGTCACAAAATCAATAAAACATCAACAACATCAGCTGAATTTCGTGGGTTTTGTTGATGTTCGTAGACTTCGTTGATTTTCATGGATTTCGCTGATTCCGTGGGTTGCCACGAACGCATCTTAAGTTCGAAAACTGAATGGTGAAAATCAATTGTTTCAGTTGGAGTCTGCCAGGGAATATGCGCGTGCGAAATCAGCGGCATTCCACGAAGTCAACGAAAATCAACGACATCCACGACATCCACATGATTTTCGTGGATTTCGTGGATTCGTGGAATCCCTAAACGCTCATATTGCGTTCTAGAATCAAAATGAAATTATCGGTTTTCACGATTTAGTTTTCGAACTTACGATGCGTTCGTGGCAATCCACGATATCAGCGAAATCTAAGAACATCGTCGACATTGCCGAAATTCCACGACAGCAGCGCAATTTTTATGTATTTCGTAGGTTTTAGTAGATTTCTCGGGTTTCCGCGGATTTCGTGAAGTCCCAAAATCGATCGCTCTCTCTCTCTCTCTCTCTCTCTCTCTCTCTTTTTTTCTTCTCTCTCTCTCTCTCTCTCTTTCTCTTTCCAAAAATGCAAATGAATCAATTGGTTTTCACCATTCTATTTTCGAACATAAAATGGCAAGCTGGGAGTTCCACGACATCCACGAACATCAACGACATGAGCGAAATCAGTAACACCTACAAGTGTCGTGGATTTCGTGCAATCACCGAAAACACGCGCTCGTTAAATTATATATCCTTAGCGCGACGCAGCGATTAATTTCGCGCCTTCCTTTTTTATGAAGCCAGCTCGTCTTTGGTGACGTCGCTATTATGACTTGCCCCCCTTGTGGGCGAGTTCGCAGATGTTTGTGGCCAATCATGCCGCGAGCGCAGATGTTTCGCAGTGTCGCAGGATTCATGGAGCGTTGGATTTATAATTCCACTCAATGTGGGAAAGTCGTCCCGGGCCTCGCCGCGGACAGCGCCGCCTGGCTGCGCGAGCTGAGAGCGCAGCGGTTCAGCGACCTGCAGCAGGGCGGCCCAGGAGTAGGCTGCGGGGCCCGCTCCGCACTTGGCCAGGAGAGCCAACCCAGCCCACGCGGCCGCCCCGCCCCCGCCGAGCCCCGCGGCCGTGGTGCCCGAACGTCCGCGCGCGTTGGGCAGCCTGGCGCCGCCTCGGGCCACTGGCGCACTCAGGCCCATCCCCGTCGCGGGGCTCGCGCCGGCGCTGGCGCCCCAGCCTCGGCCCCAGACCCAGCCCAGGGGCAGCAGCCTTGCACCCGGCGCCCCCTGGGGGGCCGGGTCGGGGGGCTGGCTGATCAGCCAGCCCCGCTCGCCCAGGGCCGACCGCGCTTGGGTGGGCGAGTCCGAGCTCGCAGACGTTGTGGGCGCCGCGCTGAGCGTCCCGCTGGAGCCCGCCATCCGAGGCGGCCTCGCCCCCCTCGGCAACGTGACGGAGAGCGCCCGCAGGCAGAACGAGGACGGCGAGCGGCTGGCCGAGGGGTCGCTTGGGCACCTGCGCGGCCACGCGCGCTGGTGGGTCTTCCTCGCGCCAGGGTGCGACCTGCTCACGCTGGGAGTGTGCGAGGGTTTAGTCGGGCGGGACCTCTACGACGGGCTTCGTCGAGCGGGGGGCGGCGCTCGGGCGTTGCTGACGCTCTCGAAGCGGCTTGTGCCCATCGACGCTCGGATCGCCCACGGGTTCGCAGCGGCCGCGCAGGGGGCCTGCGATCTCAGCGGGGCGCCCGAGTGGGCTCTCGCGGCGGCGGATTTTTGACCCGCCACCCAGCTAGCGCTCGATGACTTCGTGCCCGCCAGCGGGCGCCGGCGGGAGAAGATGCCCAAGGCGCCGCAGACGATGGCTCAGTGGGCCCGCTGCGTCGATAACTTCGCGCGGGCCCCCGCCCTCGCCCGCGGGCAGGAGCGCGCGGCCGAGCGGCTGGAGGTCCGGAGGGCGCTCGAGAAGATGCATGAGGACAACCGCCACGAGTGGCCCCGCCAGGAGTTCTGGGCCTCGCGGGAGGAGCTCAACTGGCGGTGGCGGGAGGAGCTGGAGCGGAACCACCGCTCCCTGCTGCGGGCCATGGGCACGGACAGCGCCACCAAGCAGGACCTGGCCTAGTTTGCCTTCGCGCCCGGCCCAGACGGCCGAGCTGTCTTCCGCGCGCCCGCGACGTGCATGGGGCCTCGAGCCCCCGGGCGGGCACTTCCAGATGGTTGTTCTCTCGAGGAAGCTCACGGAGAGCATGTGGGGGTTGGTCCACGAGCACCCGCGCGCCGCCGCGGCCGGCGACGCGGCGGAGGAGACCCAGGAGGAGGCGGGCGGCTCGGAGGAGAGGCCCGGCGGAGGGCGAGGCGCCCATGCGGGCGCCGGGCCAGCGGGCCGCCCCGGGGCCAAGGCCGGGCCCAAGGGGCCCCCGCTCGCCAACCCTTACCCGGCGGGCAATCGCCTTGCAGCTTGGGAGGCGCCGAGCGCCATGCGCGCCCCCGAGGGCCAGGGCGGCCGCCGCTTTTGCTGGGGTTTCTCCACGCACCAGGGGCGCAAGAAGAGCGCGCAGGACTGCCCCCAGAGCCGCCGCCAGTTCACCGGCGCAGCGGGTTTGGCGTTGGAGTGTTTGGCCCAGCTGATCCGCCGGCGGTCCGCCGAGGTGGCCCGCGCAATGGGCCCCCCGCCCCCCCGGAGATGTGGGCGCGAGGGCGGGGCAACTCCGAGCGCGAGCCAAAGCGGGGAAGGCTGCCGAGTGAGCAGCTGGCGCTCAAGGACGCGGCGGCGTGGTTTGACGTGCGGGGGCGTGAGAAGATCCTCCAGGACTACAGGTCGGGGCCCGACCGCGCGCGGCTGGAGGGCCACCGCCCGGCGCCGCGGCCCGCGCCCGTGGCGTGGCCCCCGAGCTCGACGCGGACGGGGGGGGCGCGGCACCGGGCGATGCAGGAGCTCGACAGCGAGGGCATCTTCGAGAGCCACCGTGGGTCTTTGCACCTGCAGTCCCGCATCCGCAGTCGGGCGCTGGAGAAGCGGCTGAAGCAGGAGGCTTTTGACGCGTGGGAAGCGGCCGGCGCTGCGGCCCGCAGCGGCGGCCGCTGGCTGGGCAGGCCGCGCAGCTGCTGGAGGAGGAGTTCCCCCGGGGCCGCAGAGGCGTCGGCGGGCCTGAGGGCTCCTCGGTGCGGGTCGAGCCCGCGCGCTGGCCTGCCCAATGGGGGCCCCGGGGAGGCTGCCGGGTGCCCGCTGGCCCTGCGCCGTGACTGCCGGGGCAAGCTCCGCCTCGTCGGCGAGTCCGGCGCGGAGTTGGCGACCCGGCTGGGCTTCGACCCCGGCGAGGCGGAGGGGCGACAGTGCGTCGTCCTCAGCGCAGCGGCCGCTGCGTTGCGGGCCACGTCGGGCACGCCACACGCCCGCGAGGAGGTGCAGGAGGTGGCCCCGCGCGAGACGAGCTATGGAAGCAGGCCGCCGTGGCGGCGGGCGCTTTGGGCGCTCCGACTGCGCGCCTGACGCGCTCGGGTGCCCTCGACGAGAGTTTGCGCGCGCGACGCCTCGGCCCCGCGCCGCGACGAGGACTTCCGCTACTTGGCCGCCTTCGGGGCGGCGACGCTCGAGGACGTCACCCCCCGCGCGTGGCTCGCGGGCCGCTGGGGCGGACTGCGCGGGGAGCTGGCGGCGGGGCCAAGGGCGAGCGCCGACTCCGAGTGCGCGTGCCTGCTCATCCGCTGGATGCGCGCCAGGGCTGTCCACGCCCGCCCACGGACCTCCAGGGGCATGGGGCGGCGGGGGTCGCAGCGACCCGCCCGCGAGAGCACCTGGCGACGGGGTGGCGGGCGATGCCGGGGGGGCCGAGGCCGAGGGGCCCACGGAGTGCAGCAGCCAGCTCGCCAAGTGCGCCCGCTGCCAGGCGGACCGCCGCTGCGCGGAGGCAACGGGGAGGGCGGGCCTGCGAGCCGCGGGGGCCCAGCCCAGCCTGCGGCTGCAGCGGGCCGTGCTCCAGGAGGGTGCCACGCGTCTCGACGTGGACGGCCTCGAGACCGGGTTCCTGGGGGCCTTCGCCCGGGGGCGGGTGCTCCAAGAGATCTACGCCGGCAAGGCGACGATCGCGAATTCGCGAGTCCACCGGCGACGGCCTCCTTGAGGAGGCTGTGGCCGGTGGACTCAAGGTCAGCGCGCGCCCATCGAGCATTGCGAGGGCCCCGCGAGGGGAAAGGGCCCACGGCCTGACGTGGTCGTCCGACCCCCCGGCGCGCGGGCCCACCGTTGCCAGCTAGCGCGAGCGATGCCGGACCCGGATGTGCCCGACGTTTGGATTTGGTAGAGCCCGTGCAAGAGCTTCTGCGACGGGAATATCCAGAGCCCTGAGGGGGGCGGGGCGCGCTCCGCTGAGGTCGAGGGGGATCTGCGCGGCACGTTCATGGCGGAGGCCTTCGAGGGCCTCGACGACGCAGGTCGGGCTTTCTCTTCGAGGGCCCAGCGGCCCCGGGCCGCTGCCTCGCGCGCTGGGGCCTGCCGCGGGTCGCCCAGATGATTCGGGGGACCAAGGCGCCGTCATCTTCCCCGTCAGCACGCGCATGTTCAGCCTCAAGCCCGAGGGCGAGCTCGAGGCGAGGTACCGCAATAATACCTGGGTGCTGGTGCACCCCCGACTGTTGCCCGCCGCCCTCCGCCCGCGGCAGCGGTGCGACGGGCAGCGCCGCCGTGTCCCTCTGGGGGGGGCCCGCCCCAGGACGTCTGGCATCAGGGGGGGCCGCGGCTTGCACCTCCGAGCTCGCCAGGGCCATCTTGCAGGTCTGCGAGCAATCGTGCCCCAGGTGGGGCGCAGAGCCCCGCCCGCCCACCCCTCGGGCGGCGGGGGCCACCTGCGGTGAGTCACAGCTCGGAGGGGCTGTCGAGCCAGCTGCGCAGCCGCGCGGCAGGGGGGGGGGGGGGGGCGACCGAGCGGAGAGGCAGCCGGCCAGCTACGAGGAGGACGTCCGGGAGACATACTCGTGGACGGAGGGACGCGCAGGGGAGGCACCGCTCGCGAGACTCGCCGAGGACTATTTGAACGCGTGCAAGTCGGAGCTATTTTCATCGGAGGCGATGGCGCAATTGATGACCGCGGGCGACGCGCTGGCCCGGAAGGCAGATCGAAGGTTGGCTCCGAGCGGCTCAGGCATTCAAGTCTTGAGTGCCTGAGCCGCTCGGAGCGAGCAGCGCGGGTGCCACCTTGACGGGGGCAACGACCCGTCCCTCGATGAGCTGCTGGACGAGCGCCTGCTGAGCTACCTCGGGCGCGTGGCCACGGAGGGGTCGGCAGCGAGGCAGCCTCCCCTCAACGCTCGAGCTCGGGCCAGGCCGCATCGCTCGGCCATCGACCGCCGTGGGGGGGTGCCCGGCGGGGCAAGGCCCTCATGTGCTCGAGCGAGAGCGACGCCTTCCTGCGGGGGGTGGTCGCCTCGCCCTGGGGCAGAGTGACCGAGCTCAGCCCGGGCAGGGCGATCAGCCCGGACGGCCGCTTCGTGCGCGATCGCCGGGCGGTCAACCTGACAGGCAGCTTGCAAGTGCGATCGCCCGCCCGCGCTGCAACGTCGGGACGCTGCAGTTGCGAGACGGGTGCTGCGGTGGAAGACGAGGCACCCTGAGGCCATGGCGTGGGCTGCCAGGCGCGACGAGGATGTCGGCCTCATCGCCGCCGAGCTGTCAGGCCACCCGCTGGGCCTCTGGCTCGGTGGTGGCCATATTCCTGGTGCTCGCGTGCGGGCGGGTCGGCTCCCCGGGCGAGAGCATGGGGCACGGCTGGCATCAAGGGGCTCTTCGAGGCGTGCGGGCCCCAGGGCCCGCAGTGGAACGGCGCCCCGGTGTCCGCTGCGACTTCCTCATGGACGACGACATCTTAGTGGAGCCGCTGATCGGCCTCTGCCCCTGGCGGTCGGCATCGACGTTGGAGTGGGGCGCTCGGAAGCTCCTTGGCCACGGCGCGATCAACGAGGCCAAGAAGGTACATGAGGGTGCCTTCGGGCCCGTCCAGCTAGCCTGGGGCTTGTACATCGACGCCGAGCGGGAGGTCGTCTGGCCCCCGGAGGTGAAGGTGGCGAGGGTTCGAGGCCTGATCGTCGACTTGGTCTTTAACCCGGGCAAGCGGTGCGTGACCGTCTACAGCCAGCAGGTCCTTCACGGCCTCCTTCAGTTTTGCTGCGTCGGTTGCAGCGCGTTGCGCCCGGAGCGGGGGGCCATCTCGCGCCTGCTAGCCACCGGCGACCAAGACAGGGGGATGGCGGACCCCAAGGGCGGCGAGCTGGAGAAGAGGCTGACGTGTTCCGAGTTCGACGAGGCGCTGGAGACGGTGAAGGTTTACACGGAGGCCCCCGAGACCTGGGGGTCGCAATTAACGTCGGGCTTGCTGGGCTTCCTGGCCCCGCGTCAGAGGCTGGCCCTTCCCGGCGACTTGGGGCGCCTCGTCTGGGCGGGGGGGGGCAGCGCCGTCCATGCCCTCCCTCAGATGCGGCGATTGGCAGGCGAGGGTGTACGGGGTGGTTGCTCTCGCCGAGGTGGCGGGGCCCCTGCAGGCCTGCGCTGGCGAGGAGCAGCAGGAGGTCATCATCGCCATCGGGGAGCTGCTGTGCATCGTGCTGTTGGCGGTATCCCCGATGGAGGCGCGGGGCGGCCGCCGGTGCGTCGCGGACATTGAGAAAGCGAGGATCTGGCTCGCCAAGCGGCGCGCCGGCAATGGGCTTGCCAGGTGCGCGTTGCGGGTGCTCCAGCTCGCCGAAACGCGGGTCAACTTCCAGATTGTCGCGGCCGGCACTGGGCGAAGCACGTCCTCTCGATGGACTGGGCCACGCGCGCCACGCAGCAGGTCGTGCAGCAGGAGATGAGCCGCCAGGGGTTCCAGGAGATCCCCCTCCTAGAGCGGTGGCGCGCGCTGTTCGTCGAGCTGGAGCAAGGGGGCCCGCTGGTGCTCCTTGGCAAAAGGCAGTGAACGGAGGACGTCGCGAGGCAGCTGGCGCGGAGGCACCAGGGGGCAGAGGAGGCGGCACGCCCGTTGCCCCAGCTGCTGGCGGGCGTGGAGGTGCACGAGTGGAGAGCGGGGGTCTCCAGCCACGCCCGAGCGTCGGTCGCGCGGGGAGCCCGGGCCAGCCCAGCTTGGAGGGCCCGCTTGACGCCCCCCGTCGGCGGCCTGCGCGAGGTGGACGAGCCTGCTGGGGCTCTCAGCCTGGGAGGGGTCCCCTGCGCGGCCCTCGCGGCCCTCGCGGCAGACGCGGGAGGCGGGGAGATGCGCCGCGTGGCCCTCGTGGCGCAGCAGATCCGTGGAGCAGCCCCAGACGAGAGCGCCGCCTTCCTCGAGGCGCGCGGGCGCGCGGTCACCCGCCATCTTCGCCACCGAGTTCGGCGACCAGGTCGAAGAACCGCGCGGTGGGGATCGGCGCGCCAGACAGGGAAGGGGCCGCCCGTTTCCTAGAAACCCTGGCCGATAGGAGGCAGCCGGTGGCCGAGGCGCTGGCGCCTTGCCTCCTACCCCCTGAAGCGACAGGAGCCACGGGAGAGCAGAGGGCAACCGCCACGACGACCGCGTCGCTGCGACGGGCGGCCCGCTCCTCCCCAGGCCCTGGGGTGAGCTGCGGCCCGCGGACCAGGCTGGGGCGACGGGGCACCTGGTGCGCGACGTCGGCGGGGGCCCAGCTGCGACCGCGCGCGCCATCGAGGACGAGCTAGGGCTACGGGGGCTTCCTCATCTACGACGGGAGGGGCGACGAGAAGGGAGCGCGCATCCCAATGTCCCCCGAGGTGTGGCAGCTCGCGGGAGGCTCCGTGCAGGACTGGATGGCGGCGATCGACGCGGGCGTCGAGCTCGAGGACCTGCTTGGAGCGGTCGCGAGGGGGCTTCCCCAAGGGGCGGCAGGGGCGCTGCTGGAGGCAGCCGCGCGGGCGCTTGACGGAGCAGGCCTCCAGGAGGCCCGCGCCGGAGTCGGGCTCGACGCGGAGGGGGGCTTCACGCGGGAGGCGCTGGCGGGGTGGCCCCAGGCCTGGGCCGCCGAGCTGGCGCGGCCCGGCCCGGCCCAGCGAGGGGCGCAATCGAGCCAGAGGGCGGGCTGGCCAGTCGGGCCAGGGCCCAGCGCGCCCACCACCCGTGGCCATGGCCCTGGAGGGAGCGTCACCCGCAGTGCCTGTGGGCCCTCCGAGTGCCGCGGGCCTTCGGGCTGCTGACAGTGCGAGGCTGGGAGAGCATGCCATCGCTGGAGGGGCGACGCAGGCAAGGCTGCAGGTGGCAGGAGGGGCGGCGCGTTGGCCTGGGCAGGGGGGGCGGGGAGCAGCTCGAGGGGCGCCCCGCAACCCCGCCCCTGGGCCAGGGGCAACCACGCGACCGCCCCAAGAGGTGAAGCCAGGGGCGGGCCACGGGGGCGGAGGTGCTGCCGGCGCGGGACAGGAGGACCACCAGCGGGCCAGCGGGCAGCCCCGTCGCGCGTGCGCGGGGCCAGCAGTGGGTCGTCTAGCCATGCGGCCGCAGTGGGTCGTCTAGCCATGCGAGCCCTTTCAGGATGAACGGGCTGCTCGGGCGCCCGCGCGAGGCCCCCCGGCGCCGCGCGCGGGCGCGGGGGCGCCCGGCGCTCTCCGCGCGGGGCGCCAGAGGTGCGAGGCGGCCGCGGCCGTCGGGCGCGAAGCCTGCCCGCGCGGGGGGGCCTCTCGCCGAGCAGGCGCGGGCGGCGACGAGAGGGGCGCGGGGGCGCTCGCGAAGGCGCGCCCGTTCTGCGACCCGCTGGAGATCGGGCGGGCGGGCCCCTGAGAGCCACCCAAGCGGTCCAGCGCGGGAGGAGGGCACTGCAGCGAGGGCCACGAGAGAACCAAGCTGAAGTTCCTGATGGCGAAGCTGTCGGCTGGCACGAGGGTGGGCTACGATGGCGCCTGGAGGCAGTGGGCGCTGTTCTGCAGGGCGCGCGGGCGGGGCCACTGCGCTTGCTGGGCGGCGACGCCCGGGCCCGACGTCAGGGCGTGGAGCTGATTCTGGACTTCGTCGTCCACGCGGCGCCGTGCTTGAAGGGGCCGTGAAGGCCAAGCTGTTCGGCGTGCGCTCCCACCATTTGGCGGCGGGCTAGGAGGGCCCGCTGCTGCGCGAGGCAAGGGTCTGGCTGGCGTTTGCAGGGGTCAAGCGCCTCCATGGCGGCGCGGCTCGCAAATCCCCTGTGACCCTCCCTGGACATGCTCCGATGGTTCCGCGCTCGCCTGCAGGTGGACGTGGGCGACAACGCTGGGGAGTGGGCCGCGCTCGCCTTCTTCCTCCTGAGGGCCAGGGAGTACGTGGCGGTGGACAGGGGCCCCTGGCACGTGGGCCAAGCGCTGCGTGGTGCAGACGTCCAGGCCAGGAGGAACGGCGTAGCCCAGGACTGGTTCGAAGACAGACCAGCACAACCAAGGCAGGCTGTGCAACATGTACTCCACCAGCCAGCCGATCGACCACGCGGCAGCGCTGGCCCGGCTGCAGCGCGTGCACCCCGAGCGCTGGCAGCAGGAGAAGGCGCAGCCACTTTTCCGCCTGGCCTCGGGCCGCATGCTGAGGAGGTCGAGGATCCAGGAGCTCCTCTCACTTGCGGCGAGCGTCTGTGGGATCGACCCGACACAGATGGGCAGCCGCAGCCTCCGCATAGGAAAGGCCAGAATGCTCTACTAAGCGGGGGTGGACATCGAGACCGTTAAGAGGATTTGTCGCTGGTCCAGCAGCGTGGTGCATGCCTACCTGTGGAGCGCGCACGAAAGGCAGAAGGGCATGGCCGCCAAGATGCTGCAGCCCGACGGGATGCTGGTCGGCGCGGGCACGGTTCCGGAGGGGTACCAAGAGGACCCCAGGGGAGCCCGCGCTAACATGGCGCGGAGGAGGCTGGACCGGCGTGAGGCGGATGTCAGAGCGAGGTCCAGGGCGGGCCATGAGGTTGAGGAGGTAGAGGTCCCCGAGGGTGGGCTGCGCCCCCCACCCTTGGAAGGCTTGGGGGAGTTCCGCCAGTGCGGAGCCCCGGGAAGCACGGGACAGCGGCCCAGAGAGGAGAGAGGAAGTCCAGTGCCAGAGCGCTGACAAGAGAGTCGTGAGCGCAGGTGCTGCTATGCCCGTCGAGTTGCGCAGGGCTCGTGAATGTGATGTTGTTTGGCGGCGGGTCTGCCCAGTGTCGGAGCAGGCACCCGTGCCAGAAAACATTCGTGAAGTACATAGAGCGCTCCGCGCCCTAGCACGTCCCAGCCTGGCGCGGGGTGCTCCCCAGTGTGTATCCAGTTTACTTAGCCGAGTGGGAATTCAACTCGTGGGTTTGAGTAAAACCGTGGGTTCTAAATCCTGCAAGGCGCGTCTGGGGCGTTCTCCCTGCTTGTTCCCTTCCTCGGTCACGTCCTCTTCCCCTCCTGTGCAGCTGCAGTCCCGCCCTCCGCGCCCACGCCTCGTCCGAGCTGAGGCCGACCCGCCCGCGAGGGCGGCGGGTCTGGCCAGACGCAGAGCCGGAGCCAGCACCAATGCCAGAAAACATTCGTGCTGTATATAGAGTGTTCCGCGCCCTAGCACGTCCCAGCCTGGCGCGGGGTGCTCCCCAGTGTGTATCCAGTTTAGTTAGCCGAGTGGGAATTCAATTGGTAGCAGGTCAGGTCAGGTCAGGTCACGCCCGTGCGCCAGAAGGCGAGCCCATGATGGGCGCATGCGGTGGCAATCGGCAGCGTGCAATACACTCGCGCGCCACATCTAAGGAAAACAGTACGTGCGTCTAAAAAAGGGAGGACTCATTCACCTGGCCTATCGTTGTGGTGGTGCGCTCGAGCGTGAAGCATATATTTAGGTAGCAGTGTCAGACAGCAGGGCGTTCACACAATGTTTGCCCCTCTGTTGCTTGGGATGAAGACGCGGAGTGGGGAGAAGACATACTCCCTCACATGTTCAATGATAATGGCAGCAAAGGTGTTGAAACTCCGCGGCTCGCTCCTGAAAAACATTTGGGGACCAAGAACGCCATTGAGAGCCAACCACGCGGCCGAAAGCTTCCAATTTGCTTGTCCATGTAAGAGTCGGCCGCCCTGCTGCACGATGACCGCGCGGTGACCAATTCAGAACTCTGACGATGTACCTTGTCTCTGGTAGCTGCTGAACATATAGTGCAAACGACAAATACTGGTGAACGCATTGTTCTGCCCATGTGCGAATGCCAGCACCGTTGATGAAATTGCGTGCACGCTCGTGCCAAACATGTAGTACATCATGCCACGGTGCATCCCAATCAACGCCCGGAGGTTGTCCAACGATCTGTCGTACGAGGCGTCGGAATTCGATATCCATTGTTTTCAAATCTTCCACATATACTGGGCGATTTTCTGCTGCAAAACACGCCACTGATGTTACGACAGAATTGAACAATTTCAACCTCTGTGTGATAGAGGCTCTCTTATCGCACATAACACGGCGATTCGCATAAAATGCCTTGGCTGCACCTTGTATGTGGTAATTCAGATCCAGAGTGCGGGAGTCCGCCCCCCATGTGGACAGCATTCAACCCAACTATTTATGAGCCGAGTCTCGGTGGATCACGTCTATTGTCAACCCTTCCGGCGTGCGGATCGTGGAGGGAGCTTGTGCCATAGTGGTCAACGCCTTGGTCTTCTTAGCGTTGAGAACAAGCCCGACCTTGCGCAGCTCCAACACGAGCGTGTCGAGTAAGAAACATACCTCCTTTTCCGAATAAGCGAAAAGAAGCAAGTCGTCTGCGAATCGCAAGTTCGTCAAATGCTCTCCGCCATCTCCAAGATCTATTCTCAGATGTCCAACGTTCTGCTTCCAGCGCGACATTGCCCACTCCATGGCGGATGTGAACAGCTTAGCACTCAGCGCGCACCTTTGGTGGACCCCCGCGGAAATTGGAAATTCATCACTGTAGGTGCTCTCGCCCGCAATGACACCAACTTGATCCGCATAGAGTTGTCGAATGAGCCATACCATATGTTCAATTGGTAACAACAACTATAATACGAAGAAGAAAAAGAGGGGGAGGAGTAGGCGCAGTAGGATGTCGGGGAATTGGAGTATGTATGCAGCTGGCATGAGGGTTATGCGCACGTCTAGCTCTGGAAAATATTACTGCGTTCTTCCTCTTAGGGTTCTCCACGTTGGAATGCTGCTCGTACTGTGTACTTCCATGAGGACTACTGGTCTCCAGCGAAGGGGCTCACGTTATCGATCCATGTTTTGTGGCCATGATTCAATTGAACGGTGGTTAGGACGATGGCGATGGGGTCGAAGGTGGCAGAGGACAATGACGATGATAATGTCGACCGTGACGTCGATCATGATCATGACGATGAAGTTGCTGATGTTGATGAAGATGCTGCTGGTGATGATGATGGCGCCGCCGACGACGATGACGATGACGATGACCATGATGCTGATGATGCTAATAATGATGGTGATGATGGCCAGTATGGTGATGAGGATGATGGTGGTGGTGAAGATGATGGTGCTGATAATGATGATGATAATGATGATGATGATGCTGGTGATGCTGGTGATGCTGATGATGCAAATGCTTACGATGGTGATGATGGTGATGAATGTGATGATGATGATGATGATGATGCTGATGCTGATGCTGATGCTGATGCTGATGCTGCTGATGATGTCGGTGCTGCTTATGATGACGATGTTGTTGATGATGGTGATGATGGCGATGCTGGTGGTGATGATGATGTTGATGATGATGCTGCTGCTGCTGATGCTGCTGGTCATGATGGTGATCATGCTGCTGATGATCGTTTTTGATGATGCTGGTGATGATGCTGATGGTGATGATGATGCGAATGATGCGAATGATGATGCTGATGCTCATGCTGATGCTGCTGATGATGATGATGATGCTGGTGCTCTTGTTGATGCTGATTATGACGATGGCGATGCTAATGATGATAATGCTGATGATGATGATGCTGCTGCTGATGATGATTCCGATGCTGACAATGATGATGATAATGATGATGCTGTTGATGATGATGGTGCTGATGATGCTGATGATGAGGCTGATGCTGCTGATGATGCTGACGATGATGATTCTGATGCTGATGCTGCTGATGCTGATGTTGATGCTGCTGCTGATGATGCTGCTGATGCTGATGATGATGATGACGATGATGATGGCGGCGCTGGTACTGCGGATGATGATACAGATGATGTTGTCACCGATGATGGTATGGTTAGTCGTAATGATAAAGTTTGTGATTGTGGTGACAGGGGCTTTTGTCTTGCCCTCTCGCCTGTGGTAGCCCCTTGCTCTGCTCGTCGTTTGGCTTCATATCTCCAGGTGCAGACCTGGACCACGGTGGCGACGTCCCGCCCATCGTGGAGGCGACCCAGAGCCGATGCCATCCCTGCGTTTGATTTGTCGTTGCGTCTGCTCGAGCAGGGAAGAGGTCAGGGGGTGGCAGGAAAGCGAGCGAACGAGAGAAGTCTGGGCCGCAATCGTTTGTGAAACAGGAAGGGAAATGGAGGAGGACGAGGAGGAGGAGGAGGAGGAGGAGGAGGAGGAGGAGGAGGAGAAGAAAGGGGAGATAGAAAGGCAGAGTGGGGCTACTCGGGGTCCGACTCCAGCCGTGCCGCCTCCTGCGCGCGTGCACCAGACGTGGGGGAGGATGGATGGGGGGAATGGGAGGGGTGGCAGGGCATTTTCTCTGATTTCGAGGACCGATCGATCCGTCGTTTTTGTGCTCGATCATCGGTGGCGTCTGCTGGTGGCCGTCCAGGTCGTGGCGCGGTTCGCGGCAGTTGCTGTGACGGGGGCTTCCCTGCGGCGGAGCCTGGTACGCGGTGGGTTAAGTTCTCGATCAGCGGTGGCCTGTGCGCGTGGCACTCCATGTCATCGCTGTGCTCGGTCTGTGGTGGCGCGCGCTCGTGGCCCCTGACGGAGTGTGTGCGTTCCTACCATCTCCCATCTTCCGCCCGACGCGCACGTCCTCTCCTGAGTTCGTGAGACTTCCTGAGATGTTGACCGAGGGGCTTATATACATTTGCCTGCCCACCGGGGGCTGCCTCTTTTTGTACTGGCCCGCCTGGGGCCATGTGGCCAGGCCTGGCCGGGGCCTGTGTACTTGAGGATTTCTAGATAGCCTTCTGGAGGTCCACTGCCCGCCGCCGCCGTTTGGCTCTGCGGTCCTGCAGGGCCCTTGACCATTTTACGGTCTTCCGCCCGGCGGGCGGCTGATGAGAGCTCTGGTGCTGCGCGCTGGAGAGAGAAAACCATCCTGATCGCTTTGCGACTGTGCCTATAGCGGAAACCGCCGCTGGCGGGCAGATCCACGGGCTCGGCGGCGCCGAGCAGCAGCAGCTCCAGCGGCGCTGGAGACGACTTTTGAGTTCGTCAGCGACGAGTGCGACCCAGGGCTCGACGGCGTCGAGAGGTGATGCAGTATAGGATGGATCGCGATCGCGACGACCATCCTGGTGGAGGCGGCGCCGAGGGCTACAGCCTCATCCCGGTCTGGGACGGCGCGCCACAGGGTTGGAGGCGCTATCGTGTTGACGTGGAGATATGGGCGCTGGGCACCAACCTGGGCGTGAACTACTCCGTGGCGGCGCGGCTCGTGAGCCGGCTCAGGATCAGGAGGGGGCGCTGCCAGGAGGGTCGGCCTCAGGATCCCGAGGGGGCGTATCCAGCCGTTCCAGGCGTCGCCCGTCGAGTACGATGACGATGGACAGATAGTCCGCGAGGCGACGGAGGCCGACAACATGAGAGGCATCAGCAATGTGCTCGAGGCGCTGGAGGCAGCGCTAGGCGGGCAACGTGCAGCGCGGAGGGGCGAAACGATGTCCGACTTCTTCAAGGGCCCCCGGTACAACCGGAGGGCTGGCGAGCGCATGGCAAATTTTTGGGCGAGGTTCGAGGAAGGCGTCCAGGGGCTCGCGGACGATGGAGTGCGGTTGGCGGACCAGGTCGACATCCTGGGCTGGTGGTTCCTCGAGAAGTGCTGTCTCTCGCCCGAGCAGCGGGAGCGAGTGGTGGCGGCTCTCCCAGATGACAAGTACTCGCGCAGAAACCTGACGACGATCGTGGTCAGTATCTTCCCGGACCTACACATGACGGAGAGCAGACGGGCGCCGCGTCCTGCGCGATTCCAGCAGCGAGGCCAGAACCAGCGGTTCGGGCAGCGGCGGTCTGGCCCTGCAGGCTCCGGCACGTCCACGCGTGGCGTGACTGCGACAGAGCTGGGGGACCACGCGGAGGGCCCCGGGGACGAGCAGCGGCAGGGCGACGACTGCGGCGACGTTCCCGAGGAGCGCGAGTACGAGGTCAACGAGGTCGATCGAGAAAGCCCGCTGGACCTTCCGCCCGAGGACTCTGCAGCGCTGGAGGAGACGCCGCTCCAGGTGTCGCAGTTCACCGAGGCGCTGGAGGTCATCAGGGACGCGCGTGGACGTATTCAGGGTCGCGTGGAGGTGACGGCAAGGCGAAAGGCTGCGAAAGGTAGGGGCCGTGGCAAGTCGGGTGGGCGTTCATCCTCCGGCGCCGTGCGCGGCGGGTTCCGGCCCGCCAAGAGAACGGAGCTCGCAGAGGGCGAGGCAGAGGAAGCTCAAGTCGACCTGCAATGCTTGCGGACAGCCAGGGCGCTGGGCAGGTGAGCCAGAGTGCAGGGCCCCGCGCGCTACGATGGCCACGGCAGCAGGCGTCGACTCGGACCCAGCCCACGACGCGCTGTCCGTCGAACAGGTGCAGGCCGGCAAGGCCGAGGCGATGGAGGTGTTGAGGAATGAGCTGATCAAGAAGGTGAAGGGCCACCTCCGAGGGGTGGTTGACACGGCGTGCGTCATATCGGTGATGGGCGATGTCTGGTGGGATGCTTACACGGAGGCTTTGGCGGAGCTGGGCATCGGCTACCTCGTCGAGCGCGAGGAGATCGCCGGGGAGTTCAGGTTCGGTGACGGCGGCGCGCTGATGTCCTACGAGGCGTTCCGCTTCCCAGCGGTGGTCGCGGGCGTGCCCGTCACGGTGCGATCGTGCGCGGTGAAGAGCGACAGCGTGGGTCTGCTGTTGGGGCGTGACCTCCTGGGGGCGATCGGCGCGGGCATCGACGTGGCGAGGCGCGAGCTCGCGGTGGGCTCCGGGTCGCAGCCGCTGCTAGATTCGGAGAATCGCCATTTCGCGTTAGAACTCCAGCCCGAGAAGCATCGCGCCCTGTCGGAAGCCTACGCGGGCAGAGAGGAGCTCCCGCCCAAGCTCGGCCATCGAGCTAGGCCATCGCCGCCTCCTCGTGGCTGCATGGGCGCACTGGCGCTGAAGGCGCTCGCCATCGCGGCGACCGCGTGCTGTTCAGAGGCCGAAGTCAGCAAGGCGATTGACGACGAGCCCAAGGGTCAGGACAAGACGAACGACAGCACCGCTGTAGGGAACGCGACCAACGCGACCTGGACGGAAAACATCTCATTGGAGGGCGCGCCTACTTGGGGTGTCACGCGCGGTGCCGGCTCGGCCCGTTGCGCGACTGGGGCGCTCTACGAGTGCCGGGCGTGCCGCGCGGGGGCGTGCCCGTCTTGCCTTCGAGGGCTGCAGTGCTCGAGGTGCTATCGCGGCGTGAGTGATCAAAAGACGGGGGTGGGCGGCGGCGCGGAGCTCGCGGCGCAGCCCCAATCGTGGAGGAGACTCCGCAATGGCACCGTCGCGCAGAGCAGGGCCAGGCTGAGACAAGCGAGCGCATTACATAAACGTGGAGTTTGACCAGCATACGTGAAGAAGATGGTTCAGACACAGTTGAATCACTCTACGGTTTCCACTGCTTCCAGAAGGGGCGCGAAGGACATGGGGGGGGACTCCAGGTACCCTGGTCGAGTACTGCTGCGAGCCGAATGGCCTTATGTCGGAGTTCTGGCAAGCCCGAGGGGGAGCTTCGCACCGCTTCGGATTTCCCGAGGGCGATCTTCGAGTCCGACGTTCTGCGGCCGAGTCGGGCGATCTACTTGAGCAGGCAGCGCGGCCCCGAGCTGGGCGCGCCGACGTTCTCTGGGGCAGTCTGCCCTGCAGTCCCTGGGCGGCGCTGCAGAATTTCACGAAGGAAATGAAATTTGAGAAAAGCCTAATCATCATATTTTTAAGGCTGTAGGGCTATGGGGCTATACGGTTATAGGTTCATCGGCCAAGGGCTATAGGGCTATAGGGCTATAGGGCTATGGGGGCATAGGGCTATGGGGCTACAAGTCAATAGGACTATAGGGCCATAGGCGTATAAAGGTTATGCGGGTTATAGGGCTACTGGGCGATTGGGCTTTAGGGTATAATAACTACATGGCGATGGGGCTGTAGGGCTAATCGTGCTATAGGGCTATAGGATTATTAGGGCTATAGGGCTATATAGGGCTATAAGCTTATAGGGCTCTAGGGATGTATGTCTATAGGAGCTATAGGGCTATAAGGCGATAGCGCGCCCGGGCGTACCGGGGCACCCGGGCGTGCCGGGGCACTTCTGGGCGCCCCCGGGCACCTCCGGGCACCCCCGGGCGCCCGGGCATCCCGGGCCCCCGGGCCCCCGGGCGCCCCCGGGCACCGGGCCACCCGGGCGCGCGGCGAAACTCGGCGGCAAACCGAACCTAACAATATGAATCCGCTAGGGCCCCTTCAGATGCAAGCTCTGATTGGGGGAATGCCCAGTTGGCAGCCGACCGCGCGGATAGCAGACACATGATCAAGCTATTTGCCAAGGGCTCGGCGCGCGCTGGAGGTTGGCGCGATCGCTGCGTTCGAGTAGCCCTTTAACTGCCACGGGTGGAAGCAGCCCAAGGTCGAGGAGCTGAAGAGGATCTTGCCGTGCGAGTCCCTGTTCGATGGATGCGCCTACGGCCTCGTGGGCGACAGGACTGGCAAGACCATCGAGAAGCCCTGGAAGGTGATCACCAACCATCAGCCGCTGCAGAAGTTCTTGAACCGAAGGTGCTCCCATGACCATGGGCGCCTCCAAGGGCGAGAGTTCAACCGGAAGACGCCCAATAAGGTGGGGCTCTACACCAAGGAGCTCCCGAGGGGCATCGCCGACGTCATTTGCGCGCTGTTCACGCTGCTCAGTGACAACGAGAATGAGGGCACGGAGAAGGAGCCTCAGGGTATACTGGCTAGCCTGGAGCCTGAGCAGCGTCTTACTCTCACGAGGGGTGTGGCTCAGACGCACGCCAACCTGGGACATCCAGGCAATCGGGCCCTCGCGCGGGCCATTCGACTCGCGGGCGGCTCGAAGTATGCGATGGCAGCAGCGCTCGTGCATCGTTGCCCCGCGGGCATCAAGCTGGCGGCCCCGCCGTCGACGGCGGCGCCATCACTACGAGATCATTGGAGGCCAGATCTTTGTCCCGATCGCCTCCCGCAAGCC